AACAATACTGTTGTTCCTGATCACACCTTGATTTAGGAAAACAGAACAACAGCATGCTTTATAGGTTACAATACTTTTTTTAGCGACTAGTCTGTTGATGCCATTACTAGTAAGCATAGCCAGGAATCTCAAATTGTGTAGTACTTGCGTAGTTTAGTAATTACACTTGCTATTTTGAGGACATAAATGCATACACTAACACACTCAAAGTACAGAAATACACGGACTGAGACTCACGGTAGGTTAAAGGGAAAAGTAAGGAAAGATTTGGGCTGTGAATTAGCACAAATGTGCAAAAAATAGAAATACTAATAAATTAATTCTACTTAAGTACTTAATGAATTTGAGTAGCCATTAAAAACTGTTGAAGAAACTATTTGAAAATTTATATTACCTTTATTAAATGACCCAACCTCCCCCCCATATCATCGTCCATCATGATGTTTCACTGTAGCCTGTCATTTGCCAATTAGGTAGACATCATCCAACCCTAATTCCTTCCTTAAAAAAATTCATACACAACAGGCAGAATTCATAGTATACGTTAGTACCGGGCGATAAAACGGTAATGATAATGATCACGATACGATTCTCCTCAATATCGATACGACAGATACTCAATGAAAGTTTTATATAATTTAAGACCCAAATGCATCACAATGAAATGACACCACTGGCACTAGAATCACTATATTGGCTGCATTTTTAGTGGCAGTATCAGTACTTCCTGTTACAAACAACTTATATGCTGCTCTGTTCAGGGCAGAGTGGCAGTGCCAGCTGGATTATGCAGTGCCACTGCACTGTTACAGATTGCTCATGTACCCCTGTTTACTATTTCATATTTATCTCCACAGATTAAATAATGATTTCTAGTCAGCTGGCTAATCACAAGAATGAACACGCTGGCCTGGCAGCAACCAAACACTAGCTTGGCAGAGGCCAAACACAGCCTCTCCTGGCCGCTTCTGCTATTTCCAACTGTCCCTCACTCCCACACAGAGGAAAACAATGCTATATTGAACAGGTACCAGTTTCAGAGAGCATTCAAGCACACACACACACACACCCTTAAATGCAATTTTCTTGAAAACTGCTCTGAAAAAATGAGAACAGAAATTATATCAATTTATTATTTGGAATGATGTTGCATACTAATGGTTGAATAAATTATTACAAATGATTGAACAAAAAACGTGTTTTCTAACGGCAACAATATTAGTACACTTGCATTTCTAATTTGGTACCTGATTACATGGCAAAGCAAAACATACTTTACCAATATGAAAAACAAAGAGACCAATATTAGCGTAAGTAGTACAGAGGTGGAGATGTATTACTATGGCCTGAGGCTGAGCTGTAACGCCGCACAAATGGCCCTGAAACCTTGGCATGGAGAACAAAGCTGGAACACAAACAACTGCCAGAGGTCCCGCCGGCCGGACTGCTGGAATATAAAGGCCTCGCTGACAAGCCCCGGGTGGGTGGGGAACCTCGACACGTTCTCCTGACTGCTCCTGGCCAGGAGATCTCTGCATGGCGACTCCCGCCCGCTTGTTCCCTTTCATATCTTTTAAAAACTGTTCCTCTAAGGCCAAAGCAGCCTCGAAATTAGCGCGATCCCACAAATCAGACGGGAGGCTACCTGTGAATCCCTCAGCGATCCGAAACCCGGTGTAATTTACGATCAAGTTTTAGGCAGGATTAGCACCTCTGACTATGTGTATCCGTTGAAATCCAGAATCCCTTTGCGTCCCCGTGGGCTCAGGTGAGCAGAACAGAAGACAAACAGGGACAGCTAGACTAATATCTGCATGGGATCTTTCTTTGGCCTCAATTGACCTCCATAAACCATCTGGTCACCGACCAGCTGTGACAGGGTAACGGCGCATTTAATGAACTGCGAGTTAATACCGCACATCTGAATGCGATAATTTGTGTTTTGGTGAGACTCTGGCACCCTTTTCCGGATTTCGATTTAAATCCTTGTAATACGTCACTGTAGGGTCTGCAGCTGTGGCTTTTTCCTTTGATATCGACACCAGAGCAGCATAAAAGTGCTGAAATCGGCCCTTTCCGTAACGCATTAGCCGGCTGCTCGGCAGAGGAGCCACTCCATCGTGTAACTTCATTTCCTCCTCGTGCTGTTTTTTTTTAACTACGTAATTTGTTTAAAACTTGTTTGTTCGGTTCCACTGGCACTTTACCACAAAGACAAATAAAAGAGGAGGCTCGCAGTGAACAGCGTAATGCCCATCGCCAATAAGATACTGTGAGGACGGTGCCGGCCAGGAAGGGAACCGGATGCAGGATGAGGCAAGGAAGAGGGGGCTTTTTGGAGGTCAAGGGGCATACAGTAGGTACCCGACACAGTGGGCAGCAGTGAGCAGAATGTTACATTTAAGCAAGCACCTCATGGAACAACAGAAACTGATTCAGGGGTTAGGGGTCAGATCAGGATTAGCGGGGCAGCAACTAACAGAAGGCATCGCTGCACAGTGTCAGACCGGAGCAAATCAAAGGGCCCCAGGCACACTGCCCTCCTTCCTGGGACACCTCTATCATCCCTCCATTTAACATTTAACATTTCATTCACTTAGCAGATGCTGTTGTTCAAGGCGATGTACAGTCAACGCTTCGTATTTGCAAGAGTTAGGGGTCGGAAGATACCCACAGATGTGAAAATAAAAGTAATACTCGGGTCCATTATTGCAAATGCAAAACTGACGGCATTGAAAAGTGTAAAAGTTATGGTGAGAAATAGAAGATTCCATGAAGACAGAGGCAGCTACCAGGTGAATGAAGCCGTCTGGCGAGACAAAGACGTGCAGCATACCGACGCCCAAGCGTGTACATCCCAAAGTTCTTTTTAATTTTTTTTACCAAAAATAACTTTTAATATTAAAGAAATAGTATGTATGTACACTATCAAGTATAAAAATCACTAAAGTTTATGTAATTTTCTGTGATCCAAATCATTTTCAGTGTTGTTTAAATATTTTTGGCTTAAGCGTCATCCAAAAAAATTCCCATTTAATTGTTCATGGCCAGCTGTCGAATAACCGAAATTTAAAATTTGAAAATTAGTAGGGGTGACTGTACGTACTTATTTTGAGAAAGCAGGGTAGGTCAGACAGTCCCTTTAGCAATTCGGCATTAAGAGTCCTGCTCAAGCCAATGATGAAATTTTCACAAAAACATTTTTTACGAGATCTTCAGATTTCTGACTAGAGTTGGGAAAATTGAGATTCGTTACATTTAAAAAATAATAATAATCTTGCCCATCCCACCCCTGAATAAATGTTGACAGTTAATCAATAGGGGGGAAAGGGTTAGGACATGGAGAAAAGTCCTCGGGGGTTTAAGGCTGGGGGCGCCATTGGCTTAGTCGCCTTGATCCTCCGGGGGGGGGGGGGGGGGGGCTCTTTCTGGATACCGGCAAACCGCGTCGTGAAACACATGTCAGCTTCCGCTCGACTGAGCGTGACGACCCGGGAAGTCGAGCCGAAGCATCACGCAATCCGCTCACGCACCACCGCTGCCGCCTGGGCTGCGTCTGCCGGGGGGGGGGGGGGGCTTCCACATGTGACAGGGGCACAGCTCCCCCCAGCACGGCAGAGCTGCACTTGCCTCATGTTGGCCCAACGCTCAACCTGCCGTTCTGTGAGGGATGTCCGGAGATTAGCAGGAAACCAAGTAACTGCGGAACCTTAAACCATTAGCAGTGAATAAATTGCTCTATAAAGTACCTGGGCCCCGCTAATATCACAATTCAGACAGTGCAGCTCATAACTATGGGGGCAGAGTGGGTTGGGAGGAGAGGTTACTGATGCGAGGCAGAACTTTGTGGTCAAGCGTTACTGTTATTAACTGGATGGGAAGCTTAAGTGGCTAAGCCAATCTGGGGACTAATCTGGGGACCAATCTGGGGACCAATCTGGGGACCACATGACTGTATCCCTTGGACCATTGTTTTTTGTCGGCTAGCATTATGGGTTTTCACTCAAATTTGCCCTTTATGTGCAGAGGATGTGCTGATAGAGCACTTCGAGTCCCCATGGAACACCATACGCCAGCAGACACAGACTTATCTGCGTCCAGCATCATTTACTCCCCTTTAACCCCTAACAAGGTGGCCTGGGCTCAGACGAAGGACCAGCCAAGAAGAAAAAGGATGGACAACCAGAGCAGAGCTCCTCTGCAAGGTCAGGCCTGTGGACGAGTGCAGCTCCAGCTCCCCCAACAGTGTCAGCCAACCTCCTCATGCGCTAAGTCCTCTTTTAAATAGCAGCTCTGTCGTGGTGACTACCAGCTACTGCACAACCCCCCCATCCAGAATCGGAAAGCACTGAATGTAGGTGCCAAAATTACCCTGAAAAGTCAGTAGGAAGAACAGCTTCCCCTTCGAATCCTGAAGTGGATTAAAAAGTATGCATATTTATTTATTTAAAACACACACACACACCACGCTTGGGATTAACAACCTTGTGGTTACTGACTGCTTCGACTTGCCTTTGAATTTAAGATATTTCTACCTCAAGGACTTTTTTAACAGACACAAACAAGGTAAACCAGAAGCACACAAAAACATACCCCTCAGATTCATCATTCATATGAAAATTCATTTAAGCATGCAAGATACAGTCTCTATGTTCCGGTAATAATGAGCTGTTATTCACCCCGTCGTAGGCGGGTTTTCACTTGGTAATTGGATTTTGCCGGTTATTATTAAGTAAATACGTTTGACTTCAGTATAATCCTACTTATTCTATTGCTGCGTGAACGCGCCGTTTAGATTCGTGGGCGCGCAATTTTGCACTTCTCCCGCTAGTAAATCACTTTCTTCGGGGAATCATTTTGAGGAAATCCCCCTATGCCGTAAAAACACAAATGAGCCCGGCGAGCTTAACTGCTGAGGAAAACTGGCTGTTACATAGGTATCGATAACAGCAGTAATTCTGACAGAAATGTTACATTTGGTGGCTTGACGAAACCATTACCTGGATCTCCCTTGCGTGGTATATGATGATCAAGCCGAGGAGAATGATTGTGGAAAGGCTTATCAAGCATTTCAGAGCTAAAGAATATAGTGACTCCTGGAAAAAAAAAAAGTATTGTGAAGATTCGGCTAGGAAAATGCAAACAAATTATTAGCACAGTCAATTTTGAATGACTGAATCGAACTGCACTCATATAGGACAACTAAGGCAATCTTACGTCTTCTGAAATAAGAACTTTCCATTGGAAAATATCTGGTTACTCTTAAACTTCTACCCAAGATAGACCTACCGCAGCACACACAACTTAAGTATTAGTAAAATAAACAGGTTTTATTGCTCAATTTCTGTTTGGTCGTTAACAGATAATTCCTCAAAATCTTTTTGTCAAGTTTGAAATGTTAATGTCACACATATATATTAAAATATTTGTTAACATTTATAGACTACCTGACAAAACTACCTATTACTATAAATTAAGATTTCACGAGAAATCACATGAAAAGACAAAAATTAGGGGTTTCGCGCGTGTCCCTCATAGCGCGTTACTCTGTTACTCCTTCGAGGAAAAAAATCACCAGCGTCCTCTATGCGCACCAATAAAGTTACAAGTTAATAGAATAAAATGGTAAGCTGGTTAATAACACACCTTTCCATACGCCCCCCAGGACAGCTCGGTTTCTATAACCATAACAACGATTCCAAACATCCCGAAGATGAGCGCATAGTCGCTGAGTCGCTTCCTCTTCTCGAATAAAGCTCTCCGATGGCCGAGCTTCTGCCCGATATTCTGGTTTTTCTTCTTGCCCGATTTGCCGCCGCCGCCGCTGCATCCCCCGGCTCCATCGCCAGATGCATAAGGCATCAGGGTAGTTGAGTTGTGCTCCGGCTTGGAAACTACGACGTCCGACGCGTCCGCCGTCGAGGTCGGCTGCAGGGGCTGCGACTCCGAATCAAACTCGTGCATGTTTCTGCGGGAGGAGCTCAAGTTGCTGAGCGGCCGCATCACGCCGCCGTTATATCTGCAGCTGCTCATGGCCGTTTCAGTAAATGTGTTACTTTCTGCGCGGCTGCTGATCGGGCTGCCCTGCTGCCGACTGTGGCTCTGCTGATAATGGGGATGGTGATGTCTGGGTGAACTACCATGACTAGAAGGCGTGAACTCCCCGGTATTGAGCTGACAACCTTGTCTTGAAGAAGACACGGATGATGTTCGCGGAGCTCCGGCTACGGTTGGCGGATTCCGGAGAAGGATATGGCTTTTCCCGGCATCACAGTTATTGCAGGTGCAGCACTGGTCGTTCTGGCTAATAAACCGGCCCTCCTGGCCGCAGCAGTGCTGGTACTTATACTGTTGAAATTGCTGCCCGTGAAAGAAATCGTACTGCAGCGGCAATGGGGTTTCCATGCCAGTGTTGTTAAAGCCGCAGGAGAAGCGGGCTACGCGCCCGGCGAAGCGCGTTGTGTAGGTACATGCAAGTACAGATGGGGCAAAAATAGGCCCATTTCGGCTTCTGTAGAATCTCAGCCCGACACCCGATTGGTCGTTCGAACCAAAACAACTGGCTTTACGTCACTCTTAATAGGATGGTTGCGAACATTCAGCCATTGGAATAAGGGAACCGGTTATATGCGTATTTTACTAGCTGTGTACCTGTTATGCATCCAGTAGCCTAACTTGCGTGAGAACAGTCAGACTGGAAATTGCACTAAAGCATGGTATTTAAATATAAAATAATTATTAAAGGTAAATTAAATGACAGTTTAAACAAGATTAAATTTTATCAAACATTGTGCAATGAAACGGCGCATACTTTAAACTTGGTAACTTTTCCTGCCAGCCAGGTAGGCTATTCGGTTCTCAACATGACTTTGTGTGAATCAACTGCACATAACTCTAATGCACTTTACCATTAATCATGTCTATGGCAACATATCCAATTAAACATATTATGCTGCTGACTTCGTTAACCTTGTGGGTAGATTTTTTTCAGCTATTATTTTTAGGGGAAACTAACAGTCCATATATGTTTCTGAAACTTAACGACTCAAATCACTGCCTCCCTTCACTAGACATAACCAAGGCCCTCATTATTGTAGACCATAGGACATAAATCGAAAAATCAGGTTGTGATCTACGATTATCGCAATTTATTTGTGTTTATTAGACAAAAGTATACATACATTTTTATATACCACGACAAACCAGCATGCATATTTATTGAAATCAGTTTGAAGGAAAATAATGATAGAAGATTGGGATATTTAGATAAGTTGACACTAATAATGGAAAAGTTTATTCAGGATGTGTATGTGCTTGACAGTAATTATATGGCTTATCGCTATAATCCTCACTCTTCTCCCCGGTCCAATCGCGTCAACCTGCAGGGAAGGACAGCTTGATTACATTGCCTCCGTATTTCGCAAGATTCATGTGACAGCTTATTCCTGGCGCCTAGGGGAATTTTGGGAGATGCATAAGCAGATTCCTTATATTATTTATGTGCGTTTTAATTTTGGACGAAAACTCAATCCCTCTCAGTCGGTGAATTTTAAATAAAATTATTAATTTAACCAATACAACTTGGTCGTACGCAGGCAGGGTCTGCAGTCTGCGTACCGCAGTCGCAACGCGCCACTTTAGGAGATGAACATGAAACACGCTCCGTCAGCACTATCAGATAACCCTTTGTTACCGCCGTGACTCATGCCAATTCACCTCCTCACGAGTGACAAGAACAAATCTGGTTGCGGTTTGACTTGAGCAAATCGGGGGGGGAAAACGAATACGACTGTAGATGCGTCGGTCTTTTATTATCAACGTCTCGCAAAATAAAAGAAGTTCGACAATGACAGTGAATGCATGCATGTGAAGTTGAGTTCAGCTACATTCTCCACTGAGCTGAATCTGTGTGTATACCTTTACATTATTCTACACGTTATTCTACAGAAGGAGCAGGGACTATCTGGCTTAGTTAAAGTTCTGTTAGTGAGGGCCGTGTGTGACTGATTCTCCATCCACGGTAAGATATCTTAGATATGATTCTGGGAGTGGAAGCGACACCCCTGATAATCTATTTTAAATAATTGACCTGTTCCTTTTTCCACAAGCTTGGGTTAACTAAATAGCAGGGCGAACGGATCCTGCTCTAACTGCAGTTCTCAGTTTTGCCCTGATGAAAGATTAGATTCCTTGGTCTCTCCATCCGCACCTTCTCAAGTTCTCTCTCACGGTGGGACCTTCTCGCCTGATGGGGCACTGCCTTTCAGAGGGCGACCGGTGGAGGCCTGGGTGCCTTGGGAGGCTTCCAGGTCTACCTGAAACACGTTTCTAAAGTTTCCCTTTTACTTAGTGCAACTTTCCTATTGATGGTGACGTCAAGCGTTTCTGGAATTTCCCGAGATGAACCGGAGGCTCGTGATAAGGTGAAAAGGCGGAGAAGGGTTTTCTCCATAAATCACCCCATATCATTTGTGAAGATGCTGCCCTTCGATGTGCACATGTGTAAACATCGCATCACGTTCATCTTGCTTGTCGTGTCGCGCTCACATCTCTGAACTGACATTTGATCTAAAACTTATCTTGGATTAAGAATCTAAAACGCTAACTTCACACAGCACAATTGAGACATTAAAAATAAAGCGCAGGAATACGAGCTTACGTGGCAGCTAGAAACTTAGTACGGACGGAGAAAAGTGTTTGATGCAGGTATCACTGATGTGGAGCTCCATCCGTCTTCAAGGCGCATATCATGTAGCTGTCTATCGATTCTGGCGTTACAATGTTTTAAGCGTATCCATTGAATTTTTAAAATATACATTTCTTGCGTCGGAGTAGCTAAAAACAAACCAAAAAAAAAAAATAATGAATGTGTTCTGCATAAATAAATAAAGAATAAAATAAAATATTATTCTTAAGGCTTTGAAAATCTAAGTTATATTATTAAAATACAAGAATATTAAAGTCAGCTATTTGAACATTAATAAGGACACTTACGATAGAAATGCACAAAACGTTTTAATATATCATGTGTGGTTATGTTTTATTAGTCTATAATTCTATTTTTGTCGTGTTAGGCATTAATCCTTATTTGTTTGAAATGTGTCCTGAACAAATTGGCCCTGCTGCCAATCACGCAGCTCTCCGTAGAGCATTTTACATTTCCGTGAACCGAATATGCTTTTTGCATTAGTTCAGATTAGAACGATGCTAACGGTCCATAATATTAGCCTGAGTTTGACTGTTTGGAGTGGTACCATAGTCAGAAGTAACGCAGTCTGGCAGCGTATGTACTTTAATCCTTTTAGGCACAGTGGCTGCATATGTTGCGTGATCGATGGTTTCTACGTTTTGTCCTTCTAGTTCGTCCTCCGAATGAGTTTCCTCGACATTACCGGATCCTCGGTGTGGGACGTAAGGAGGACGTCGTGCTCGATCTTCCTCTCAGCTGATGTTTCTGTACCAGGACATTGAAATTCTGATCTGAGCTGGCGGAGTCCAGTTTTTCAAATGTGCTTGTTCAATATAGTGCGTTATTTGTTTGCCGATAGGCTAAGTGATACATGTGCCTATAAGAGATTTGCCTGTTTGCGTTTTATACGTGAACTATTTAAACACAGGGTTGCCAGTTTTGGTTAGCTGGCTGGAGTGGATTTTCAATTCGAGACAAGTCTGCACACATATTACACGCATATAAGAGTTTTATTACCATGTAAATAGTCTGTAGGGTTTGCAAAATGCCCCAACGCTTTTGATGTAGCCAATTTTAGGTTCACACTGGAATAATATATATTTGCCGTAACTTGCGTGAGCGTGAGAGTCTGAAACCATGTAACGTTAGATGCGTGAGAGTTGGCAACCCTGTATACATAGGCTATTGTGCACTTATTCGTTTTCAGCTTATTCATTTCTGCCAGACTGACACTTTTATGGAATCTTACAAGGTTTTTTTTTTTTAGTTTTTAAACTTAATTTAGTTTATGTGTTTGCTTAGGGTGCGTAAACTAATGACACGGCAATCAATCGAATTGGTAGACCTCAATAAACTCATATCGTCAGTGTGTTTTTGTGTGCCTGTTCCGTGAACCTGTTTTAACTAGATAAGCAGTTATCGGCAATGCGTGGATCGTGTCATCATTGCCATTCAGCACCTTAATAAGTGTTGCCGCAGTGACACTTTTCTATTACCCCCAAATTAGGAAACAATATCACGGTAGTGGGTTCTAAAATATTCAGTCAAATCTTTCGCAAAACTGAAAAACGATAATCTGTTAAAATGCCATCTGTGTTTTTTTCCCCCTCATCTCATAATCTAGGGACGCTAAGGTGTCGTTAGTCATGTCAAGGTTTCTCTGGGGCTTCTGGGTTGTTTGACGAACCGTCTGAAATAAAAACATGGTTGTACCGACTGTCCTAAAAATCATATGACGGATAAGCACATCTATAACTTACAATGAGGACACGTACGTTCTGGCTGACAGTCTGACAGCATCTTAAACTTGTGAATAATATACGCAAATCCCTTTAAACTAAAGACGAGCGCCTATTATGCAATATGATTACAATGAGAGGCATCCGGCACATATGCCAGGCTTGAATTAACTGCTGCCAAGATGTCAACATCTTTTTAATACATTGATAGACAATGAAATTGAACATAATCTTTTTGACATGCTCAATGTAATTTTTAACCTGGCCTAGTCTTTGAATCATACTAGACGTAACTTTTATTTTTATAGTGTGCTTTTTATTCTGAACATACGCACTTTGTATATGAGAAGCATTTACTTTGAATACAGAGTTCTTGTGGTATCTTTTAACCTATATGGTCGCTTGCAGCAAGAGCCTCTGATTCTCTTCAGAAAAAAAAAAAAATGCTGAGAAGAGCGGTTCGGCACCGGCTGAAGAAGATTGACGGCAAGACCTTTGATTGAGCTTTAGCCTCAGACATCCGGAGCCAAGTTTGGTCTCAGCCATAGAAATAAATCCCAGATTCAATCTAAGATTATCGAATCCCACATCGGGGCTTGATGCTGATATAATGTGTGTGCGTGAGCTGTGGTCACCAGTAGTTTTTTGATATACAAGCATTCGGGGAAAAACACCAGAGGGCTGATGTATAGTGCAGAGGACAGGGGCCAGACACCTGCTTTGGTCTCCATGGAGCTGAAGCTCACATTTTTTTTGTCGGGGGGTGGTTGGCGATTCTGCTGACGTGCATGCATTTCCACGGGGCGAAAGTGATTCAGAGATCTGCAGCCAGCGCAACCTCGGCTCTATGGTCGTCTAACGTGTTTCAACACCGGTGATGCTGTTATTTTTACAGGCTCATATGATTCCATCTCTTGAGGAAATAGGTCTCTTAGGTTTCCGGTTGTCAGGATACAGGCCTTAACTCATAAATAAATATCAATAAATCCTAGAAATAGGAGTAAATGTTATAAACTGGATCCCAAGAATATTTTCAGCCACATTGTCCTGTAAGTGCAAAATGCTTTCATTTCAGAATGGCATGCAAACACTAACATAGTCTATTTTCATATGGGAAATATTTTTTCAGCAAAGCACATAGATATCAGTGTGCAATGGTGTACTGTAGTCTGAGATGGATTTGTGGAATATATTTTTGGACAACTTGAAGCTTACAGGATGATGTGTAGCTCCCAAAGTCGGGGTTTTGTGCCTCTGTCCAGAATGTAGTGGGTTCCAATCCCATGTCTGGCAAAGTAATGACAGTAGTACCTGTGGGCAATTAACCCTAATTGTTGCTGATCCTGCTCCCTGACCTTAGCTTTTCTCACTTGTATGGCACTCTGGACAAAATAGATGCTACAATGATTAGAATATTTCAAGGGAAACAACCCATGTAATATGTAAAAACAATGTAAATGCTTCTGTAAGAGCATCCTCTTTCGCAAAGTAGTTTTTGAAACAATGACAAGTAGCAGTTTAACCGTCCTCATCTTCAATCATTTCCCCTTGATCTTGGGAGCGTCCCAACGGCAATCGGTGACAGGAGCAAACAGAAACCATTACATGGTATCCATTGACTTACATCCAGGTTTTGTTCTGGAAGTGAGGACGTCATTCTCGAAATATCTGGATCATTATAGGGGAGAGGTCAAATACACTGTATTTCACACGCATTTAACTAAACCTCTATCCAGTTGGCTTTAGATAATAATAATTCTGTTTTATTTATATAGCACCTTTCTCAAATGCAGGGACATTTCAGAATGGAAGAGGCTCCTGCAACATGCCACATACAGTGAAGCACGCCTGCAGACACCCATGCGTCCGCTTCAGACGTCTCTCAATACATTTTTATTATGGTCTTTATGGGACACAAGTACAACTGGACATTACTTGATAGGACTTAGGTTGATGGATGACTATTTTTTCACTATGAGTATTTAGGGTTGTTCCATGGCTCTGCTTCAGGTCAGATACGGAAGTATGCCTTGATTGTGACTGAATGGGTTAAGATGTTGTCCTGCGATCGGAAGGTTGCTAGTTCAAACCCCAGGGTAAGCACCGTGATTTCATCATTGCGGCCTTGAGCGAATGTAATCCTCAGCTGCTCCAGGGCCTGTCTCACCCTGGTCTCCCAAAATGTACATCACTGCAGATAAAAGTGTCTACTTAATAAATAAAATGAAAGAGGAACTGTGGATAATTTATTCATGTCCTTTCATATTCAGTTAAGCTAAATTGTGAAATTAAGAAAATTTGTATTAGTGTTCTTTCTGTTCTGACATATTTCATGTATTCAGTGTGGCTTAGTGTCCCAGTCATTAAAATACAGATTTTATTAAAAGTCTGAGTAAAATGCAAGCATCCCTAATTTTTAAAATTTATTTATTTAACCATATCTTTAGACACTTACACTGTCTTCCAGTGAGTTCACCCCATTTCATCTCTATGTCAACCATCAGTGCTATGAAAACAGTTGCTTTTTACACTAATTTATCAACAGTTTTCAATACAGCTTTACATTTTAGGAGTAAAACAAAAAAAATCCCAATACAACACATAAGGCACCGAGAACAGCGTCCAACGTCAATATCACAGTAACAAGCAGAACATAAAAAAGGTCTTGTGGTCCAGCGCCCCCTGGTGGGTTGGCAGGGCTGTTCAGTATCCAGCACCCAGGACAGTGGTACACACACAGGTCCCAAAATGCTTAGGGATCCTGACAGGAGCTTTGAGTGTTCATTGGCTGGCTCCAAACCCATTAGTAGAGGGAACAGGACAGTGACACGGATTTCCCCCAATTTATAGTCAGTGAGGGAGCTCACAGTCCCAAAGAAGCCTTCAAGAGGGAAGCCATGTCCTCTGGTATGGAATCTTCATCTCCTATGAAGGGGGGGGGGGGCAGTTAGAGAGCTTCACTCAAAATTTTGGCCAAGGTTCAAGGTCAGCAGAATCCAGCCATGCAAGATGGCTCATAATGACCTCTGTGATACTCTAAACCAACCACAATAACCTTCCCCTGCAGACTTTATTCTGATGCAACTTAGAATTAATGGACTATGCATCACATCAGCTGGTGCTGAAGCTGCAGAGCCTGGATGGACCGGCGTGCGTGTGCGTGTGCGCACACACACACACACACACACACGCACACACACACACACACACACACAAAGCCAATCCACATCACGACGACGGAGGCTCCAGCAGGACGGAACCTCCAGCAGGACGGAACCCACCTCCCTCTGTGGCAGTCATATCCTGCTCCAGCTTCAGCTTCTTCTGGCCGACGCGCAGCATGCAATCCTCGATGGAGTCCTTTGAGACCAGCTTTATCACCTTCACCGTCCTGAGGGGACAGAAATACTCCTTCAGAGAGCGCCTGGCTGCAGCCGCAGACACCTCTCATTCTGCAGGCCTCGCACATGGTGGGAAGCACCACGCATCACTAGCTGGTGGGAGTTTTACTTACACAAAAATGTTCTGAGGGCAGAATGAAAAAAATGATTGGTTCAGAGAGACAACCAATCAGATTGTAGAGGAAGTGAGTCCAAGCAACTAAAGGAGGGTTGCGTGAGGTTTTCACCACCGGGGGAGGTTTTTACAAACATCCACCCCCCCAGACCACGCCCCTTCCTGCCCACCTCATCACACAGCAGGTGTCTTACCTGGTTTGACCCACACGGTGGCAGCGGTCCTCCGCCTGCTTGTCGTTGTAGGGGTTACAGTCGATGTCGTGCAAAATGACCACATTGGCGGAAGTGAGGTTGATGCCCAGCCCCCCCGCCCTCGTGGACAGCAGGAACACGAAGATGTCAGGGTCAGTATTAAACTCATCGATGAGGCCAATCCTGTAAGGGGCAACAAAACGGCTCTTACCAAACCCAGAAGTGTTTTAATATTTTTGCTTCATCGGGTTTGACGTTTCTACATTAAAAACATCACTCCTTTGTACTGTTACCCAGGGTGACTTTGGCTCGAAGTACTAGTAAAATATGTAGATTTATGGAATAATTTACAGCGCTGTTCATGTTCTCAGAAACTAAATCCTAACAAGAAAGATCCCCTTCAAGATATAAAATATTTCTCATTAGTACTGATTGAAATCAAAGACTGGAAACGGGACCTGGTCTATTAAAATGTAACTGAATATAATCTGTTCAAAAAGGTTTTTGCACATGCGAAATTATAAGTTATTAGGAACAGTATAATTAAAGATGACAGGATAATGGTATTCATTGGTCAAATTGTAGTGTATTTTAGGATTAACTCTTTGGCCTACAGGATATCAGTATAGTACTGAATTGCTAAATCAGACACGTGTTAATTAGACCCCTCTTCCAAATTCACACCAAGAACCAAGGGACATAATGCATGCTGAGAAAACTAGGGATTTCCCATTCCCGTCGTCGGTGGAAGGGGGTTAAAAAATACCAGCACAGCTTTGCTCATCCTTTTTCTTGCAAAACGAAAACGAGCAAAAACGAAGAGGGCCACATGTCACACGATGTAGGAAACCCTCTGGTGACAAGGCTCAGCCTCCCAGACTGACGCCCTGGATAGAAATGATGAGCGATGGGGGGCGAGAGCAGAGACCTGTCGGCCATGGGCGTAGAGCCATCCAGCCGCAGGTAGCGGAGGGTCAGGTGTTTCAGAAGGACCTCCACAATGTCCAGCATCATGGTGAACTGGCTGAAGAGCACCACACGGTCACCCTGCCAAGATGGGGGGAGAGGGAGGGAGAGGAGTCTGTAGAGCGTGTAGTGAGGGTTACATGGATATCCAGCGACTGGGTCACACTCAACTCCTGCTGTAGGAGACCCACATATCTGCCCCCCACAAGTACTCCTAATTGGAGAGGCTTTGAAATATCTAGGGGTGGGATTATCAAAGTGTGTCAATAACTGATTGGTTCAACCAGCTTTGTTTCCCCAATTGGATTAAACCCCTTATCAGTCAGAGGCCACACCCCCTGTACCCCTCATTGGCCGCCTTCTGACCCCTCCCTACCTTGTCCTTGAGGGTGGCCAGCAGCTCGGTGAGCACGGCGAACTTGCCCGAGTCGAGCAGCTGGTCGCTCTGCAGCTGGAAGCCGTGCAGGGTGGAATACTGCGAGCAGAGGCAGTGCAGCTCGAAGTCCGACATCACCCCCATGTCCTCCTGAATCAGTGCCGGGTCTGCGTCACGGTGCGTCGGCTCCTACGCGGCAGGGGGGGGGGAGACAATGTGAAGGCCAGCAGGGCCTGCAGGCTTCTGAGGCAGGACTGCCGTGGTCTAACCACAAACAGAGTGTAACCATCCATCCATCTTCTATGCCCACTATTCAAGGTCACAGAGTCTATTCTAGAAGCTATGGGCACAAGGTAGGGAATAAAGAATAGGGTGTCAAACCCATGGCAAGGCACACACACCAGGCACACACACCGGGCACACACACCAGGCACACACACCGGGCACACACAAAATCACACCTACAGACAATCTGGCATCTCATATTCACCAGAGAAGAAAACCCCATGATTACATGGGGAGAACATGCAAACACATGCTCAAAGCCCAGTCCCACAGGCATGCCAACGTGTGTGCCCCCCCCCCGCCCCCAAGTGCAACAAACTTCCCCAAATTTCCCATCAAAAGGACAAAAACAAAACATTCTCACAGGTGGACAGGATGTGCATGAATCGGGCCTCATCCCTAACGGCACCCGAGACACGCCGTTTCTGTAGCAAAAATCCCCGATTCATGCTGGCGCACTGTTACTATCCTCGAGCCAAAACATATTACAGTACAGCAAGGTCAGCAAGACAAACACTTTAAAACTATGACCTGGGTTACAGCTACCAGCTATTAAAGGGGCTTTTTAAAGATATAACAGCATAAACAGCCTCAGCCTGACTGTACAGAATGTAGCCGCTGAACGTGAACAGAGAGAAGCCGCAGTGAGATCTTTGTGCGGCGGGCGTGGCCCGGTTGCGGGTGCCACGGGGGAGCGCGGTGACGGATGTCGGCAGGCACACGGCCCTGGAGAGGGGCCCCGACCTTCAGCATGAGTTGGCTCATGGCAGCTAGCCTCTCGCGGGTGTAGTGCTGCCGATGAAGCAGTGGGTGGTTGGCCATCTTCCTCAGCTGCATCATCACGTTGCAGAGGTCCCGCTCTGGAGGGTTACAGTGTGACGGGAGAGGACATTAGTCTCAGTCGTCTTGCGAAATAAGTACATAAATCATAGGGCAGGTAGAGAAGAAAGGAGGAGACTATGACGGTGCCACAGTGGGGTCTGGGGCGCGCGAGAGCGGCTCGTATCGGAGATCGGGGTCACAGCTCCGAGCGGTTACCGCGATTCCCTCCTGAGGACCCTGTTCATTAGTCACCCCCGCCAGCAGCTGTGAATTAGCCAGCGCAACGGCCAGAAAGAAGCAGGTGATTTATTGCAGTTTAACTGCAGCATGAATTGTGCTTAAGAAGTCACCTTATTGATATAATCACACAATATTTCAATGTTACTTTTTGGGGAATTACGAAACTTTAAATGGTAGAGCTTCCTAGTGCTCTTTTCATTTACACAGGTTTCATTTACCTACAGGTAGAGCTTCCTAGTGCTCTTTTCATTTACACGTGTGCCGGCACATTGTGTTAATGACAATAAGAATTGAACTGAACTGAACTGATCTTAACTGAACTGATCTGATCTGATCTGAACTAAACTGATCTGAACTGAACTGAATTGATCTGAACTGAACTGATCTGAACTGAACTGATCTGAACTGAACTGAACTGAACTGAACTGATCTGAACTGAACTGCTCAGCCGTGCATGTAGGGTCCTGGTGACCTTTGACCCCCCCCCACCCCCAAACTCACTTTCTCCAGAGGCAGAGCCCTTCAGTTTTCGAAAGAGGGCATCGTACAGACGAGCCTGCCTGTCGCTCATGGGGCAGAACTCAACTCGCTCCTCCTTTTCAGGCAGCTGCTTCAAGACCTGGGACAGGAACGACAGACACAGACGGGCTGGATGAGTGACGGCTCCCATCGCATTACGGGAAGAACCTTCGAAGCGACACCGCTGACGTTCCCCTGCGCTTCGCAAAGCTAGACTGTATAGCAATTAAGGAACCAAACTCCTGTCAAAAAGCTGCCGGTTTCACGGAACCAGAATGAATCTCAAAACAGAGCAACACCCATAAGCTAAAATTAACTCCGCGTAGAAGACAATTTCAGTAGTTATTCAGAGGAATTAAGGTTCATCTCTTTCATCATGCATCATCTCTACTAAGTAACGATATTTATTTATACGTCATTTACATGGTACACTGAGAAACACGGGGGTTCCTGTACTGGCTGATAGAGCTGAGCTGTGATACCGTACCTCACTTTTTACTCGCCGCAGGATGAAGGGCTTCATGATCAGCTTGGCCTGAGCGATCCGGTCCCTCTCAAAGCTGCTCTGTTCCTCAGATGATTTCTGAAAGGGAGACGGCGAAAACACTTCACGACAGGCGACAGGCAGCCTTCCTGGGGTGCTTGCGGATCAAACCCGAGCTTCCAAAAGGCCTCACCTCCCCCCCACACACACACATACCATAGAGAACATCTT